ACCAAGGGGAAAAAAAAGAGCTAGTCATAAAAAGGCAAATACAGCCCAGTCCCACTTGCCTGAGGTTCCTGGAGTTTGCCTCCTCTGTGAATTTATTCACAGAGGCAGGAAGTAGGATGCTGGTTCCCAGGGGCCAGGGGCAGTGGGGACCCGGGGAGCTCTTGTTTACGGCCTTCAGAGGTTCAGTTTCAAGAGATGAAAAATGTTCCGGAGATAGATGGTGGTGATGATTGCAGAACAGTATGAGGGTACTTCATACGACTGAACTGTACCCTCAGAAGTGGTTAAGATGGCAAATCTTTATGTTATGTGTATTTTACCGCCATTTAAGATTTGAAAAAACGTACATCAGATACTACAAATATGGTTGCATGGGGTAAAGCTAAAGTAGCGTTTCAATTCAATGTACATATGAAACAACTGTGCGGATGAGACGCTAGGGGAAGACGCAGGGGAAATTCAGCGTATCCGGAGCTCAGATGGAAGGCGCCTTCACCCTCTCCAGCCCCGGCTTGCCACAGTCCTCCCTCCATCCACTGCCACTCGTGCCTGTGTCTGCTGCTCATGTAGCCCACCCACTGCACCCATGGAGGCTCCATCCGGTGCCCTCTGGGCTTTGCACATACCCAGCAGCATCAGGGGTCACAGTCCCGAATGCTGACATTCACAAAAACTCTTGTGCTTCGCTTTTGACTTAGTGGTAGTCCTCAGTACCCCTGCCAGATTCTTCCCAGCCTCCTATATCCAACCAGCGGGGGTTCTGGGTCACAGCCTAGGGGGGCAGGAGGGATGTAGAACAGCTCACTTGGTTCTGTATGGGTGCTCTCCAAGTGGAAGCTGGGCCAGCCCCCTCCCCTCCTCATCCTGCCACATGCTGCCGGCAAACAGGTTCAGTCATGACTGGGCTCCAGGGTACTGGAAGGGACCCGAGAGCTGGACCATGCCCCCTCGTCCTGCACATCCCTGTGGCCAGAGCTATTATGCATGTTAGACACACACGATGTTGAGGCGGCCCCCTGGGAGCCCCTTCTAACTCTGACACCAGCTGGGAGACTGTGGCCAAGTGCTTTCTAAGGGGCATTTCCCCAACCATGCTCTGCAGGGACATCCCCTGGGTCTGACACTGAGCAAGCTTTCAAAGTTCAAATCTGGTTGGGTCATTATACTGCTGTCTCCAGATCGAAATGTCTTAAGCTTCCGATATTCAAGATGGCAATAATAATACCATTAAATAACAGCTAACATTTATCAAGGGCTTACCACATGCCCGCTGCTACTGCCCTGGTCTTACCGGCGTGACTTTATTTAATAAGCCCCACACCTGAGGCTTACCAAGATGAAAGCAACTTGCTGGAAGTCTAGGCTTTCAGGAATAGGCCTTGGGGAGAAGATGAAGAAGGAAAGAGGAAGAGAATTAACTATCTTATTCATCCCTCACTAAAAGCAGCTCTTCTTAAACTTTAAAGGGCACAAGCATCCCCTGGGAATCTCGTTAAAAAGTGGATTTTGACTCAGTAGGTCTTGGGCGGAGCCTGAGATACAGCATTTCTGTTTTTTTCTTTTTCTTTTGAGATTTATTTATTTATTTGAGAGAGAGAAAGAGGGCAAGCGTGGGCAAGGGTAGGGGCAGAGGTAGAGGGAGAAAGAGAAGCAGACTCCCCCCTGAGCAAGGAGCCCCCAACAATGTGGGGCTCGATCCCAGGACCCTGAGATCATGACCTGAACTGAAATCAAGATTCAGAAGCTCAACCGTGCTACCCAGGCACCCCTGAGGTATACTGTGTTTCTAATAGCAGCGGGTTGATGCTGTTTGTCCAAAGATCAGGCTCTGCTAATAGGGAGGCATCAGAGCACCTCCACCTGGGATGGAGCTCATGCATTCATTCATTCCCTCACTCATTCATTCATTTTTGTTTTACACTCAGCAGTGGCTTCTCTGAGCCTCAGTCACCCATCTGCAAAATAGGAATGAAACTCGCATCTCATAAAGTCTTTATAAATATTAAATGCAATAAAACGTGGCAAAAGTCTGCCTCAGGGTCTCGGGCAAGGTGAGCATTTCATAAACGGTCATGGTTCGAGAGCTGTTTTTATCAGTTCTTTTCTTTGATTCATGCCAACAGAGATTTTCACACGGTTCTGGTAAGTTTATTTATATAACAGCAAATTTATTTATTGAATTAAATCCCCTCTTTATCAAAATGAAGCATGTATTTTAACATTTACGTATTTACATATTTCCGCAATGACATCCCAAGTGGCTCTGAAGGCTGCCAATGATGGGCTCAGAGTCACCACCCTGAGTCAGAGGAACAGGCGTGATTGAAGAAACATGTCTTCTAATCATTTCCACGAAAGGTGGAAGGAAATTGTAGAGGCAGGCACAGGTGATGAGCTGTGGGAGCCACTTGGCAAATGACTCCACCAGAAAGGAGGAGTGAGAAGTGGGTGTGGTGGGGAGAGAGAGATTGGCTGGAACTGGGTAAGATGTCAGCAGATTGCAAGCTGTTAATTATCCAAGGAGAACTAAATATTATGTAGGCAATTATAGACAGGCCACTGTAAGCAATAATAGGAAAACATGGGCCCCAGCGAATTGTGAATGTGTGTCCTCTTGAAGAAAGGCTGGGGAGATGGGTTTTAGCATGCTGATCAGGCTTTCTACTGGGAGGGAGAGCGATCGAGGGGGCCTGGGGCCCCCAGGGAGGGGGACACAGGGGTCCCCTCGCCCACCAGTCCAGCCAAGCCAGGCACACAGCGCTTTGCTTTGAAAGGCAGCTTCACCCCCGGCTCCGGGCCTGGAATCCGCAGCCCCCTTCCCTGGGCGCACCCCCCACCCCCGCCAAGATGTCATCCTTTGAGACGATTTCATGTGGAAGCATCGCTAAGTAAATTCGCTAAATGCCTATTCATCCCCGTCAGATGGGGACTCGGTGAAGCAGTAAATGTGAAAATGGCCCCAGCTCAGGGCCCTGAAAGGCGCTTTCTGGGGTTGCCAAATGGAGCTGCGGCCGCTGACCCTGGGAGGCCTGAGGCTTCGCGCGCCGGGGGCCCCCGAGCCCCAGCCTGGCCCCTCCAATCCTCCCCCTGAGGCCGCTCAGAGGCCCTGTTTATTATTCCTGCTGTCAGGGACCCATTCAGAGGTTAACTTGTCCCCGTATTCATCAGGACGACAATAATGAACTGTCGCAGAGTGGCGAGGGGTTGGTAAATAGGAACTGCTAAGACGCGGAGATGGAATGGGCCTCTCTATGATTTGGAAAGAGACATTGCTTGCATTTTTTTTTAACGGGCTGATCTCATTCCCACCTCTCCCAGCAACTTCAAGAGGCCCTCTGCCCACAGCTGCCCAGAACTTGGTATGAGGCGCGCGTGGGCTTTACCTTGCAGCGTGCGGGCAGGGTTGTCTGCACAGGAGGTGCACCGTTTTGCAGACACACGTGGGGTTAGCCTTTTGTCTGCATCCCTGGGATCCATCTCTGTGCACGTCGGCCGGGCTTGGCTTGCTGCGGATGTACTGGGTCTGCCTCAACGCAGACGCAGGCTTTCTCTGCCACCACTGGAATGGCTCCCAACAAAGCGGTGTTGATCTCAGTAGTAGGACAGGACATCAGCCGTGCTCATTTTCACTGCAGCGTCTAACTGCTTGATGCCCCCTCCACCGGAATTAGGAGTTAGTCAACATGAATCACCCAATCACAGAACAGGGGCTTGCAATGGCGTGGCACGGGGAGTTGCAGGGAACTGGAAGAGGGATGGGAGTGGGGGGGGGCGCGCTTAGACCCAATTGTGGGAGGCGGAAGGAACAAAGTATCTTGCATTTATTGCGCACCTACTACATGCCCTTTAAATCCGCTCAGTTATCCATTCATTATATAAGCACAGAGCCTACTCTCTGCTGGGCAGCCAGGGGAGTTCAGAGAAGGCCACCACCCGGAGGTTAAATTGCTTGCCCTTGGACATGCAGCTGGGTCAGGAGTGGAGCTGGGACTTGTCTCCAGACCTCTCTGCTTCTAGAGCCCAGGCATTGTTTTCTGAGGCACCCACCTGCCTCCCAAGGTCTGGTGGCCCCCATTCTGGTTCCAGGGCCGCCCTTCCTTTCCACTGTCTCCATCCTGTCTCCCACTTTGAAACAATGGTTTTTACTTTACTCCCTTAAGTAGAAATCCCAGGGCAGAGAGGCCTGATGATAAAGGAGCTGTCACTTCAGCACCGTTTACCTGTTTGGGTTTATTCAGCACAAGAGGCGACTGCATTTCTGGCAGATGGAGACCCGTGTGACTGCCTTTTAAAATACTGTCACAGCTGTATGCACAAGTTGATTAGCTGTGACTACACTGCCTGTGCCGAGATTGATGGCGATAAATTTGGGATAACAATGCTGGAAACGACGTCATCTGTTTGGATCATGCCACTTATTTTTCAAAGTGCTCTCAATCAGTAGCCCAGTGGCTATTGAGGACTGGGTGTTCATTCATCCAACAACCCTTCATGTAGCTCCTACTATGTGCCAGTGAGGAGCAAGTCCCACTAGGTTCTGTCCTTATGGAGCTTACATTGCAGTTTAAGCAAATGTAACATCTAGTAATGGAAACAGAGGCATGTGATAAAGGTGGGGGTGGGGGAGGCAGATGCTACTCTAGGTTGGGTGGCCGGAAAAGGCCTCTCCGAAGAGATGACATTTGGCAGGAGACCCGAATGACAATAGCATGCCAGACCTGGAAAGTACAAGGCAGAGTCTCCCAGGTACAGCAGGTGCAAAGGCCCTGAGGTTGCTAAGTACCTGGCATCAAGCTACACACCAATGATTTCATGTTTGCCAAGCCCAGCACTGGGCACTAGAGATTCTAGAACACCCAAGGCACCATGCTTATCCTCAAAGAATTCACAGGTTATGGAATACAGAGGGTACAAACACACTGATGTTCCTTTTTAACATATGTGTGGTAAGTCCATAGTCTCTGGAGGACACTGACCTTCCTCTGGGTTTGTTTCCACAGGACGAATGACCAGCTCGTGGCATTTCTGTCCCGATACCGAGATATGAATTTCCTGAAGTCACATGGCCGGGACAACGCAAGGTCAGTACATCCTCCCCCTACCCTTGTGCAAAATGGAAATGAAGATATGGGTGATCATTTTGGGCCTTCCTTCCAGGCTGGTTTGATGCAGCCAGAGGGAAACAGAGGGTGGGAGAAGGCTCAGGTTGGCCTCCGCCCCTTCCATGTAAGACCTGAAGTGGTCTCTCCAGTTAGACAAGGACAGGGATCATAGGAAATGCATCTCCTTGCGTGATAGCCCTTTACACCTTTTTTCTGAGCACTTTCCTGAGTCCATTAGCTCATTACGGCAACCCTTTGAGGTAAGTAGGGCAGCCATTGTTAATCTCCACTTTATTGCTGGGAAGACTGAGGCCTATGTTTAATGATGGCCTTAAATGATGTTTAAATGATGTTTAAATGATGGCCTCAGATCATTGGGGTCTACGATTTGGGGCCATCACTGGTCAGCCAGTCATTCAGCAGATATTTGACCAGTGCCAAGCACATGCCAGGCACTCTTCTAAAGGTAAACAGGACAGAAATCCTCATTCTCATGGAATTTACCTCCTAGTAAGAAAAAATATCACTCCAGCACAGAGTTGACTCCCACCCTGTGCCCACACCAGTGCCTCACTCTTGCTGCCCCAGACTTGAGTAGGGTTTTGAGGGACCAGAACCTCAATATGAGTCCATTGACGCAAGCCAAATAGCTTTGAGCCAAGTCTATGGCTCTGTGGCCAGAGATCAGCTCTAGAAGGGATTCAGTCTTGAGCGCCCCCTGTAGGGGATATCGTAGGATCGGCCTCGCCATCCCAATGGCAAACACCATTTAAAAAAAAAAAAATTCCAACCCAGGATCACTCTGACATGCTAGAGACTTCTCTAGCCTTGAACTCAGACCATAACCTGGCAGCACATGGGATCATTTTAGTGCTTTCAAGTGTTTTGTTTGGGCCTGGCATTGGTTTTGTTTTGTTCTGCTTTCATTCAAGTGCTTCATTTGAAAATGAGTAGCCCCCTGTAAAAATAGCAATGTTTCCCATGAACATCCAGATTCCAGCTCATCTTAAAGACCCCAGTGTCCACTAACACTGGGCCTGAGTTTTCTCGTTGGAGGCTCTCACCTGGTTGGTAGACAGAGCCTGTGGTCCTCCAGGTCACCATGGTCCTCACCTGCCCACCCCCTTCCCTCCCCAGCCTCCACCGGCCAGTCTGTGCTTCATGGCTTCTCTCCCAGTGCTGACCAAGGCGTCATTTTGACTAGTTCTGTAACTCAGTTAGCTTACTTATCTGCAGCCCAGGGAGGGTCAAAAAGCAAGCAGTGAGCTTCATCTCCCCAGCTCCCGAGATGTAAACCCAGAATCCTTTGTTGTGTCACTTCCTAAATTTTAACTTTGATTTCATCCAGCTGTTTATAGACTGTGCCTATCCTCCTGATGGCCTGCATTTTTTCTGTTTAAAAGGCGCCCCCAGCCTTGAAGATGCTCTGTAAATCAGCACAGATTCACATAAGCATGTTTTAGCTGCAAAGCCTAGAGATGCCTGGAGAGACACAAGAATGATGGCCATTGTGTGTTGTACCCTGCCCCACTGACCCTTTTCCTACAGGATCCAATCTTAGAGCCACTCAATGCAAATATAAGAACTATTATCCCCATTTGTCAGGAGAAGGAAGGGGGTCTTTGGGAGACTACTGATTTCCCCAAAGAAATCAGACACAACTGGTAAGGGCTAGAATCCAAACCCTCCCAGTTCTATGGCCCCAAAGCCCAGGTAGAGCAAGGTGGAGCTGAACGAGATTCCATGCAGGTGTTAGTTATCAAAACTGGCCCAGATGTTGGTGTCTAGGCCCTTAGGTAGAAACTGAAGACCCTTCTTCCCCTGCCAGTAACCCCGTAATATGTGTTATGTACAAAGTTGTGTCATGAGAAAGGAGCACCCCATAACTTGATAGACTTGGGTCTAAATTACATCCACCCGAGTGTTGTTCCAGGCTAGTCAGTATTTATTCTCTGTCCTCTATTTCTAGGCCCTGTGCTTGGGACTGTGAACAGCACAGGGGTTAAAATCATGAGCTTTGAGGTTGTGCCTCCTGGATTCGAGTCCTGCTCTGTAATGTGCTAGCTGCATTGCATTAGACAGGTGGCTGAACTTCTCTGAGCCTAGACTGGTGGCTTAACCTCTCTGAGCCTGTTTCCTTATCTGCGTAATAGCAATATTAATAGACCTAGAGTCACAGGGTTGAGAGGATTCAGTGGATGCTGCATATAAAGCATGCAGCAATTAGGAAATGCCCTATGTGACGATGGTGATGATGAGGATGTTGACGTCCAAGGCCATGAGAAGCCTAGGACAAAAATATTGCTGAAAAAATAAATAGTGGTGTTTGGGCCAAAGTTGTGCCTCTGATGTGTGAATACATTCTGTCTAGTTGATGTGCATCAGTAGTTGACAGGTAATACCCAAATGGCACAGGACACGATGAAGGGTCAGGCTAAGATGTTGATCACACCTCCTCCTAAAACTCAAGGCTCTCTGAACAGAAAAGCTCACGAGTTCCACTGCCCATGAATGAGCCCTTGGCTGGTTTTCTCTTACTTAGATGGATGAAGGGCACTAATTCAGTATTAATTTCATAGTAAAATGAGCCATCACCTGCCACCCTCTCCCCCTGTCAGTGGAGGCCTTACCTGCTGCATGAGCCAACCTAGACAGTGCACATCTTCTCTTATCCCCGCCCCAGGGTGCAGAGCTGGCCACAGCTTTGGCTCCAGCCCCTGCGCACGTCATGTGTTACAAAGCCATTCTTGGTGGCAGATGACAGAAACCCAGCTTAACCTAGACTAAGTAAAGGAAGCTAATGGACAGAGAACATTCATGTCTGACTTCACACAGGGCTGAATCAGTCACTTCAAATGATAGCATCAAGCCCAGACTCCATTAGTTTTTTTCTTTTCCTTTTATGGGTTTGTTTTTTTGTTTTGGTTTTGGGTTTTTTTTGTTTTGTTTGGGCTGTTTAATTATTTACTATTATTCCTGGAGAGGGCTAGAGAGAAATGAATACATCAAATAGCCAAGTAGTTCAATGGCAGGATCTTTTTTCTTTTTCTTTTTTAATTAGGATATAATTGACGTAACATTGTATTAGCTCCAGGTGTAAGACATAATGATTTGTTGTTTGTATATATTGCAAAATAATCACCCTAAGTCTAGTTATCATCCATCGCTGTGCATAGTTACATTTTTTGTCTCGTGATGAGAACTTCTAAGATCTGCTTTCTTAGCAGCTTTCAAATATACAATACGGTATTTTCGACTGTGCGTCACATCCCCAGGACGTGTGTATTTTACAGCTAGACATTTGTACTTTGTGACTACCTCCTGGTACCTTCTGTTGGTTCCAGTTTCCTTTGTGTTGGTTTGGTTTTCTGCCTCCAGATGGTGACCCTCTGCAACTTACTAGTCTCATTTTACAGATGGAAACAGAGAGGTTGAGTGACTTGCTTAAGCCCACACAGGATAGGGCAAGGACTCAAACCCAAGTCAGTGTGTCCCCAGAGCCCAAGCTTGCAAGCTGCAAGTGATGCAGCCTGTCTGTGTTCTGGGCCTGCCTGCCTGCAGTATACTAGGTGGCTTCAAGGTAGCCACTCTGCTTCTCTGGGCTTCATTGTCTCCCTTTGAAAAACAAAAGGGATGAACAAGTTGGTCTCCAGAGACCCTTCCCATTCTGATGCTCTGTGCTCTTGGACCAGCCCTTGTAAAAAACACTGCGACAAGGGCAAAAAGTTCAATAGACCAAACAATGCAGAGGGGCCAAAGCAAGCGGTGAGATACAAACTAGGCCACGAGGTGCCTCGTTTTTTAATTCCACATGGTTCCTAATTGCAGTGTTGACCTTCTGTGCCCATCTCCAGGCCTTGGCAGCCAATCTGGATTCCCAGCTCCAGCTGCAAAGAGATGGCATAAAGGCAAACGAATATTTTAATAGCTGCCAAATCGGTCCTGACTGTTCCTGTAATTAAATGAAGGGGAGTGTTGTATTCACCGTTTCTCCTTGCTCTCCTCCAAAAATAAAGTAACCAGATACAGCAAAAGACAGGCAGCACGGTTACTGTTCTCCCAGTGAGCCTCTGCAGCATGAGCAGAAGCAGATGACCTAAAGTCCACTGTGACCCTCAATGGGCAGGTCCTAGCAGATGTCCCCCCACCCCGCTGGAACCCCTGGCTTCTGCTCAGTGGAGTAAGAGAGAAGTTTCCCAAATACCTGCAGCCTGGGGGTGGGGGGCCCCTGACATGCACCAGAAAGCGAAAATCCTTTTTTTTAATAAATTTATTTTTTTATTGGTGTTCAATTTACCAACGTACAGAATAACACCCAGTGCTCATCCCGTCAAGTGTCCCCCTCAGTGCCCGTCACCCATTCACCCCCACCCCCCACCCTCTTCCCCTTCCACCACACCACCCCTAGTTCGTTTCCCAGAGTTAGGAATCTTCATGTTCTGTCTCCCTTTCTGATATTTCCCACACATTTCTTCTCCCTTCCCTTATATTCCCTTTCACTATTATTTATTTTCCATCTGCCAGAACAAGGCTTCCTCTGGGACTTTTCTTGCCTCGATCCACCTGGGCTGTCCGGCTGATTCGAGGAGCCCTTGGCTCTCAGGCTGAGCCAGGGAACACAGTATGGCACAGGATAGGCGCCCGACTGCTGGTGGCCTGGCACCTGCGTCAAAATGCTGCTTCTGTCATGTGACAGCCATAGGACTTTTACAAATGGCTTCAACTCTCCATGCTCCTGTCTCCTAGTCTTTATAAAATCCGAACAGGGAGGTTGGGACTGTGGAGGACCGAGTGTCCTCCTTGGCCCCAGGAAGGCCCCAAGCCAGGTGCTTTCCACCATGTCAGAGAGTTGCTTTTGCTGGCTCAGGGGTCCATGGCCAGTGGGCAGCAGGGCTGGAATTAGAACCTGCTTCACACTGACTTTCAATATGTGTGTTCTTTTATCACACCCTGATTAGTGACCACATCAGAGAGGACCT